TGATAAGCTTTTTATCTGGCTTTTTTTAGTGTCTTCCTCAACCCTAAGATTGAGATATTTAAATAGACTCTTAGGGTTGGGTCAAAGAACCAGAGAGTGACTTATCCCAACTTCATATCAAGGAAACATGGAGATAATGGGTTTCATCCTTCCTTAAATCGTGGGGAAGACGGTTTCCTTATTTGACTACCCCTTTAGTCAGTAGATATGGGGACACGTAATTATCCACACTTTAATAAGCGAGTAAGTGACAATCTAGTTCGGATGGCCCAAGCCCAATATGAGAGAGTTATTACAAACCATGGGCACCAGTAGCATAACTTCAACCAACTTATGGTGCTATTGTTAGACATGTGACTGCAAACACAAGAGGAGAGGGTGAATTGTGGAGGTTTGAAAAACATTGTTTAAAAAAAATCGTTGCAAAAATCAGAGTTCAAAATTACTAGTAAAACAAACAAAGAAATAAGTAGCTGGATAAAGAAATAGTTGGAAAACCAGAAGAAAGAAAATAATTGAAAAGTAAATGAGATAAGGGAAAAAGAAGGACACAATAAAATTATAGATATTTGACCTAAATGAAGATGACTTAATCCTCTCCCCAAGAATTCTTTTTGAGAATTTTCATTATCTTGAGAGCTTTTAATAAGATGTTCTCGTGAACCTCCTTTTACAAGGATTTGAAATTTTTCAATGGCTAACTTCCAACCAAAACAACGGGCGGAGCTTTGACTCGCTATCCTCTGAACCAAACAGAGAATTTGTATGGGCTAACCTTTGAATTGAGATGGAGTTTTATACAAGTTATCCTTTGAAACGAGATGGAGTTTTATATTGGGTATCCTCCGAAATGAGATGGAGTTTTATATTGGTTATCCTGAACTAAGATGGAGTTTTTTACTGACTATCCTCCGAACCGAATTGGGGTTTTACACGGGTTGGCCTCCGAACCGACCTGAGATTTTACATTGGCTACTTTTGAACCAAGTAGAGATTTTACATAGGTTGATATCAAGACTAAGATGAAATTTTACACAAATTGATCTCGAACCGACAAATCTTTTGCAACAGGTTGAGCTAAAGAACCTTAGAGGAGATTTTTTTGGATGATCTTCACGAACTAAAACAGATTTTTTGTAGCAGGAAAAACTCACGATTCAAACAAAGACTTCCTAAGACAATCCCCAAACTAAATAAGAGTTTTAACAGTTTAGATTGCAACCAAAAAAATTCTTATGGAAGATACTTTACTCAAGAGATAATATATTTTTGGATAATGTAGTGTTATATTTGTAAAAAGGCCTCGCATACGGCGATGCCTTCAGATCACCCTAGAAGAGACGACGTTAAAATATCTCCCAAAGGGGGGTATCGCCTCGTCCCCGTGGTTTTCCTATCACCCCAACATGAGAAACATGGAATAAGACACTTTTGAACATAGAGAAAATCAAGGTCATTAACTGACCCACGACTCCCTTTGAAATAGGGATTCAACTGTCCAGCATTGATTAAGTGGGCGGTGACCCTTTCCTAAAAAATCATAGACCCTAGAGGCCTCTATAAGTACATCCCCCCTCAAGAGGAGAAAGATAAATCTTAATCTAGAGATCATACCTCACACCCAAAATAGCACAACGTTCACCACAGTCTTACGTAACCGTACGCTTGCTCTTAAGCATCATCAATCGTTAGTAGAGCCTCTCACCTTACATGAACAAGATTCTTAAACTACCTCAAAACACCACCGTGGAAGGCTTCTTGTCGTCGTGAGCAAGCCTTAATCATCATATCATGTTATAAACCTACTAAGATCTTTGAGTCTTCATCCCCTTGCAGATGGAACATGCACACATGTATTTTTTTTATCAGTACAGTGGCGCCCAACGTCGGACCCAATAAAACTTACATGTGACACACTCCTACTCTAATCTCTCTCATCTCCCCACTAAATATGGTCGACAAAACCACAACCTATAACACAAACACAATCGCATGAGGTTTCACCGGTGGAGGATACTATAGATTTTCCCAGAGAAAATACGCAAGACAAGTGTTTGTGGTAAACGTAATATCCTTTGGTTTCCAAAGATAATGCCCTCGATCTCAACCCTCATGATGATGATGATCTAATCATCATTGTGCAACATGGAAACTGGGACATCAGACGCGTTATAATAAACCTCGGTAGCTCTGTCGACGTCCTCTTTTAGGACGCCTTTTAGAGACTGCAACTTAACCATGGAAATGAACAAATAATGAGATGGGGCAAATAATGTACAAATAATGAGCCACATAACCATGGAAACCACGTGTAGGGATGGGGCAGGCCAAAGGAATTGACATCAGCTACCTCATTTTAGAAGCATATCACCTTACAACATCATTCTAGGGCGACCGACTATCTACGCCCAGGGAGCAGTTATGCTACTTATGCTATTGATTATGAGGTGAAACTAGTTTAGTTGTCGATTATGGAAACCTAGTAATTAATTATGCCTCTAATCCAACAAATTTTTCCTTATTTTTTATGTCATAATCAATTATGGTCATATCCTAATCGATTATGAATCAGATATGGGCCTTCCAAATTTTCTAAATTGGTCTAAATCTTTTACTTTAAAAAGAGATCTCGTGTTCATTTCAAAACACACGAGTTTTCCTAAAATGCCTTCTACTCTCCTCTCACTTTGCTTGTCAAATTTCTTACTCGCTTAATATTATTTTAATGACAAGAGAGTAAATGTTTAATATTATAACTTATGTAATTTTATGTTTTAACTCCACTTTGAAATTGTAAAAAAATGAAAATTTTCAAATTTTTCAGTATATATTACGAGATTTCCGATATACAGCTATAACTTTCATAATTTTCAAAAAAAATTTAAAAGATAAAAATAAAATTTTGCCATAATTTGGAGGTGACCGGTTAATTTCTCCAAAACCATATGTGTTTTATCTTCTCTCAATTCTTTATTTTCTTATACTAGTATTTATTTATTTGCATTTTTCTTCTTCTTCTATTATCTCCTTAAAATTTATCTAAAATCCGATTTATTTTCTTTAAGTCTTTGAAAAAATTTTATGTTAGAATTCATCCCTCTCCTCTCTTAAGTTTGAGTCACTTAAATAACATATTTGTTTCCTTGAATCGGAGATCATTTGATATTTTAATTATTGTCAAAGATTGAGTTCGTATAGTAGGTTAGGTGGCAAATAAGATTTTGAAATATGGTTAAATAATTAATTGTAAAAATTTAAATAAATAAATAAACAATGCACGATACGATATCTTTCTTTTTAAATGAAGACCAAATATGAATTAATTTCTCTATGATAAATTATGATTAGCATTATTGAGATTGATGATTCCTCCCCAATTTGGAAAGAACTAACAAATATTCTCCTAAGATAATTCTGTTAGAATCTTTCAGATAACCTCTGATCTTTCCTCCATTAAATAAGGTTAATCCTCTATTAATATCTATCTACCAGTTTAAAGAACATTTTTAATGAACTCTTCAATTTCCTCTCAATCTCCAATTATACCCTTGCGTCAAATAGTTGTTACAACATTTTTTAAGAGTTTCCCTGACTAAAGGAACCCACGGTTTACTACTTTATTTTCTTCAAGGACTAAACAATAACTGCATTCTTGTTAGATCTCAAATCTTACTTATTGACCCCATTCCCCCCTATTTCCAAAGCGTACTCCATGATACTCCAACAAAAAGGACATTTGCAAACTAATACTTTACCAGACCCTACAGTATTAGCTGTTGAATCCACTACCACACCTTTAAAACCTAATCAAGCAAACTTCAAATCTTATCATAAAAATAACAACTGTGAAAAACCCCAATTTGTACCAATTTAAAAAGACCAAATCACAGACAAGTTTTATTTGTTCCATGGTTTTCTCATGGATACCAAACCAAAAAGTTTTTTAATAACGTTGAATCTCAACTCAGTGATCCACCACAATATGCTCCCACACTCACAAAGATCAAATTCAGAGTCGCCTTTTGATACTTCCTCAACAAAATAATGTTGTTTAAAGGAAACACCAACACATCTTAAACATTGTTATAGACCTCTTACTTCAACCTTCTTTGCCCTATTCTTTATGATGTTATACAGTTTTTCAGGTTGTATATCATCTAAACATTCTCTCATCCAAACAATTGCACAATAAACCTCCAAACTTATCTCATACGTATTTATTATTGCACAAAAACCTCCAACCAACCTTATCTCATAAAGTTTTTTGGGTGTTTATGTTGCATAACCTATAATTTACCTTTTATTCATTTAGTTTTAATATAGCCAATAATTTCAGTAAAAAGACAAGTACTATAAGTTGATCAGTTTCAATTGTAACCTACATTTATATTTTATGTTCAGTCCTTTATATTTAAGTTTTATTCGAAAATATCAAATCAATATAACTTTTTCAAAAAAATCATATTAGTATGACTTTTACAAAATAAATATCATTTTAAAACAAAACAAAAAAATATAAGAGACCACTTGAAACTTATAAAAGTTGATGAATTTTGAGACAAAGATAACTCTAATTGAAATTTTGAAGAGGTGAAAGACAACTAAAATTTAAAATAAAATAAGTGACTGCAATGTATACTTTAACCAAAATATGGAACTCAATCGAATTGTAAACAAAACCTTTGTTTATGACTCTGTCCATTCCCCAACTACACCCTCCCAACCAACACGACTCATTACTCGTAACAAATACATATGTAGAATGAAAATAATAACAATAAACTCACAGACCCCAAAAGCTCAACAAGTTCAAGTCTAAAAATTCACACCCAATCCTAATTTGACTTGCTGAAAAAACCAGAGGACACAAACAGTTCAATTGAACGACGTTGACAGTCTGGCAACCATTAAGTATGACAGTATCCAAAGACATGGACAGAAAAAACACGACCACAACCTAATCAGATTGCATAGTAGTATGAAATACGAATAAATAATACTCAAGCAGACTCAGGCTCTTCAACTTTTTTATCTGCATCTGCCTTAACAGTCTCACCTGATGCTGATTCTTTCTTCTCAGTTTTTTCCGCAGACTTCTCTTCATCTTTCTTCTCTGCATCAGCCGACTTGTCATCAACACTCAATTTCTCAACAAGAATAGCTGCTGCAGATGCTTCCAGGTCATCCACTTGTTTTTGGGACTCGGCAACTTCTAAGAATGTTTCCATAAAGCTTTTACAATCTGGCAGAAATTCAAAGCAATGGTGAGTTTACACAAGGTAACATAACCAATATAATGGCGTTCAGTTAAAAAACTATCCCAGCAATACTCATATATCATCAACCCAAACACTGACAACAAGTATGGGCTGAATCATTGAAATTGAAAATTGGAGTGTGTAACCTTTATAAATAAATTAACTAATGCAATTTTCATACAGCTTATCTACAGGTAATAGATATCTTGATCATCAGTAAGAGTACCTTTGGGCACATAACTGCCTACAATGAACTACAAATAAAATAAAATACATTGTTCATGTAAACCGCTCCTCGAGTTGTTGTGATCTTCAAATTATGCTGATGATGTTGATAATGAGTATGTAACAGAGATTGCAAACAAAAATTAAAGGAAAATTCCTAAGTGGGTAATACGGTAAGAAATTTTAACTGTGCTATCATATCAAGAATTGGATCAGAAATTTACAACTAAGAATCTAAGACCAGTTAAGAACCTTACATTCAGAACTTTAACAATATGAAAATAAAATTATACACACAGTACACATTATTCAAACTAGGGGAAAAATAGAAGACATGTGGAGATTTTTACATGCCTTTACGGTAATCATCAAAACATCTAAATATATTTCTACTATTTATAAGTATAGCCATTTGACTATGGATAAATTGGCATTTTAAAATCTGAAAAATATTGTGATTGTATGCTCCTACTAGGAACCAATCACTTAAAATGCAACTGGAACGTTCAGTTTTTACAAGTTGAGTTGAGAGAAATCAGGCAATCCAACACAAACTGAATTGAAACAAAATGTACCCAAACTTTCTTCACCAACTAAACTGTTTTGCTGAACACTCTTGGAAACCAGAGGCGTGTCTAAACAAGTAGATATCTAATACATTCACTTATCAACACAACACAAGATATCTAATACATTCACTTATCGACACAACATCTAAATAAAAGTTCTTTACCATTCGGGCAGTTGATTTGGAGACCAATTACTTAAAATGCATTTTAAAAGTTCAGTTTTTATAAGTCAGGTAGAAATCAAGCAATCCAATACAAACTGAATTGACACAAAATGTCCCCAAACTTCCTTCACAAACTAAACTGTTTTACTGAACACTCTTATAAACCAGAGGCATGTCTAGATATCTAATACATTCACTAAATGACACTACACAATAAAACTGCTTAAACGACCAAACATCAAAGTGAACAGAGGGGGCAATGCATCAAATCAGTACAAGCCCAATAAGTCGATGTTATGAAATCTTACAAACAAAAGCTCACATCACAATGCAGTCTAGTACAAGAGGTGAATGTGCCTCAACTATTTTTGCAATGAGCTCATCCAAAGATACTTCAGAATCACAAAGCATTCATACATGTAAATGCTAATGTTAAGGGGATACTTGGTGCAGAACAATACGATGTGCTTAAATGATTAAGGCTTTGTTTGGGAACCCGGATGCAAGGGGAAGGGGGGCTACACATTAGCTACAGATGCCTTTGAGCGACTTAAAAATAAGAAAGGGAAATTAGAAAATCAATTATAAATAAATAACAATGAATCGTGCAAGTCATCTAAATCAAGCTAACTACATAAATAACAAACATAAGCATGTAACCAATAAAACATCTGCAAAATGTAGATTGAAAATTCTTGCTTACTTTCAATAGATGGAAAACGAATGCAGAAAAGCTCATCCTTTAGTTCACCATCAGCAAAATCCTTAGCATGCCAAACACAGGATTTCTCATTACCAGCATGTTCTTGCACAGACATGGTAGGAATAACTGCAACACAATTGATAATCAGAAATGTCTCAAAATCAAAATTACAAACAAAGATGCAGATGCAGTAAAAAGAAAACACATACTGAAATGATTGGCGCAGATCTTGAGAGTTTTGGATTGCCTCATGAGAAGCCTAACTTTACCGGTAGCCTTATGTTTCAAGAACTTCACAGTACCAGCACCTCTTTCCTTCCACTGATTTCCATCCTTATCAAATCGGTAAAGCTTCGATTTGCTGCGATCAATGAAAAACAATGAGACATGCAAGGTAAAACCCTAAAAAGGTAAAAGTAAAATATGAAAAGGAAAAGACGTACAGATCTAGAATGGCGTCTTCGTTTTCTTCACCGGTGGTGACGGCAACCTCCTCAAGTTTAACGATGGGAGCGACTTGGGCTCCAGTATCTTCGTCATCGCCGACGGCTGGTGCCTCCTCCTCTTCACGGTGTTCAGGATCGGCCATTTTGTGTGGAGAGACGATTTGAATTGCAAAGTGGTGCCGCTAGGGTTTAGAAAATGTTTGGATTTTGGTAGTGATTGTGAAGACTTGAGTCTAGTAGTGTTGTTGTATATAATGCGGTATTGCACTAAGAGTGAGTAATTCTATGATTAAATCGCTTTTTTTTTTAATTTTTGGTCTATTTTTTGTCTGTTTTTTTCTTCTTTCTATTGAATCGCTTTTTTTCTCTATTATTTGTGTCTATTATATACTTTTTAGCCTATTTTTTTACTATTAGACTGTACTATAAGAGATATTTTATTAAGTTTTGTGAATATATAATATGTTTTTTTTATATATATGTTTTAGTTTAAATTATTGCTTATATTTTAGTTTTAAAAATAGATTGTAAATATATTATATATTATTATTTTTAGATTCTTTTCTTTTTCTGATTTTAGTTTTTTTTAGAGGATTTACATATATTAGAAGTTAGATTTTATTTTTATTTTTATTTTTTATTGGGCATTTTATTTCATTTTTCACTATTTTTGGGCGATGAGAGACCTCTATTGTTTTTTCTCAAAATATTGATGAGAAACGATATATCCGAGACCATTTCCTTTTTTCTTTCTCATCTTCGACTTTATTTTATTTTTCACTGTTGTGGTCTACGACGAGACTTCTGTAATCCATTATCAGTCAAATTATTGAAGAATAATGTAGGATCTGAGACCACCTCTTTTCTCTCCTCATTTCTCCTTCTTTCCGATTTTATTTTGACTTTCTTGGATCGATGAAGTCTTGTATCCGTAAGCGTCGAATTTATCGAAGTCGATAACCTTCCCGATTTCAAATCTATGGAAGATGATCATTTGGGTCATTTTCTTTACTTTGGGATCGCGATAGGCTACCTTCGATTAATCGACATTATGTTTACGATTAAGACGAGATCCCACTTTTTATTGGTCTGTGTGACACGATTCAATTGGAGAATGATCCTCAATATCATTTCTCTATCTTGTCCATAGCACGGATATCAACTACGCGACCTTCTATAGTTTGACTTTCATTCATATGTCGAGCTACGACGGTTTAGCGTCACATTGGACCCAATCTGATTCACTTATCCTTTCGAGCCATATTTCAAGACATCAAAAAGGAGATTGGAAGCTTGGAAATGAAGTTTGCACGCAATTTCAAGGGTCAACGGAACCACTCCGTTCGGTAACTTTCCTTACTTTCAATCTTACATTTCTAGAATATCTAGTGCGCCTAATCCGAACACACAAACCTATTCAAATCATTTTCCTAATCAAATTGCGAAAGAATTTAGTTCTTGGAGTCGTGCACTCCTTGAATTCATGAGTGACAATTATTGAGGCGTACGGCTCGAATAGCGTGTCATTCGAACTTTCGTTCCTAAAACACTTCCCCTAATTACTTGGACAAGTACTTTCACTGTCCAACAAACATATTTCATAATTAATGGAATGAAAAAGATGTCGTTGAGATCTAGCATTCCAACGATATCCCAACTAATTAGTTACGAGGCCGACGTCTCGCTTATCGAATAGTCGTCATTCCTCCTAAATGTACAGCCCGTCTAACTTCGTTTCTCACCCTCGAGCGATCAAAATCTAAACCTCCCTCAATTCAACCCTAATACGCGTCTAAACCATCCACCAAACACAAATTTCGAAGTTAGTCGAATGAAAAAGGTATCGTTGGGATCTAGCATTCCAATGATATCCCGATTAATTGATTACGAGGCCGACGCCTCGTTTATCAAATAGTCGTCACTCTCCATCAAATTACCTAACCAAACTCCTCTTTCTCGCTCCCGCGCGATCGAAACCGTAGATACTTATTCAACCAAACTCTCTTTTCTCGCCCCCGTACGATTGAATCCTTTTCAAACATTAAATTCCTCGCCCTCGTGCAATTTCTAACTCAAACATACCTATTCCTAAGAACATTGTTTAGTCCCTTCTTCCGTGCATAACAAACCCGTGCTTCAGCCTCCCCTAGCGAGCAGACAGGCCAACGTTTAGCAGTTAGAATGCGACTTAAACACTCGCTCATTTATAAACCTTTTACTATAGTTGGTTGAACTACGGCTGCTCTGATTCTTCATTCTCTTCCGAATGTAAGATACGTAGGCACAAGATTGTGATGATCTTGGCGAGCACAATCCCCTCTTTTTCTCGTAGTCCCACAAACTACGAATGCTCTGATTTTCCACTTCATACAAGTGAAGATACGTAGGCACAAGGGCCCTAATCCTTGGCGAGCACCCTATTTTATAACCACCCATTTTCCCCCTATAGGCGAAATCTTAGAAGAAAACAAACAAGCATAGCTAACTTTACTCTCGAATCGAATCAAGAGGTTCCCGTTGAGTACAACGGACGTAGAGGGTGCTAATATATTCCCTTTGCATAATCGACTCCCGAACCTAGAATTTAGTTGCGACGACCATGTTCTTATCTCTTTAAAAGTTTTATCGATATTTTCCTATTCCTTCCTTGGAATGAATAAAGTTCGGTGGCGACTCTGTTCGAACGTTTTTTCCGCGTCCATCGCGAGGATCGTACTTTTTGAGGTACGACAGATGGCAACTCTGTTGGGGAAATAGCATTTCTCTATGCAAGAGAGAGTCAAGCCTAACTTGACTCGACTCAAGAGTGCTAACTTTGCTTAACTATTTTCTTTATGATGATTTTCTCCTATTTATTTATTTGCTTTCTCTTTTTATTGTTTACTGTTTATTATATCTGCCTGCTGAATTCGGGGATAGCATTGCAAGTAAAGCTCTACACCCGAGCTTTGGAAAAAGGATAAAGAAAACATAGTTTAGAATTGGTAGTAATTAGTATTAGTCCCCAAGGACTTGCTCCTTGCATGCCTAGCATGAAAGCTCCTCCAGAGTAGACCTTTTCGTAGATCCTATCGTAACACAGCTAGCCTGTTGCACGACTTGATTCATGAAGGGTCCGTGACTCTAGGAACCACTCTTAGAACCAGTTTCTATTGGTAGTCGTGTAGTGTTGGTCTCCAAGGACTTGCTCCTCGTGTGCCTAGCATGAGGACTCCGCTTAGGAGAGACCTTCTTGTATTACTATTATAATGCAGCTAGTCTGTTGCATGATGTTGATGCGACTGGTGTCCGTGATCCTGGGAACCTTATCCGTCAATGTAGAAGCTATCCAGTGAGTGGGTCTGAGGGTAAAGAATCTAGAACTTGCCTTGTATAACCTACCGGTTAGGGAGCTTTGACCTGCTTATGTTATCCTGGATCCTGTTTGTGCCCGCATTACATTTGTATATCATTGCATTTGCATTTCATTTGCATTGTATATCGTGTTCTCATCCAGAAAGCTCATCCATCCTTTTGTCCATAATCTGCAGTTGATTTCCTGACACACGTATTGGACTTGAATTAGTGTTGGAAGACCATGAAACGCTTGAAGCAGAATCAAGTTGAGCTGAGAAAAGACGAGAACAACGCAGAAGGCAAGATGAAACAGCTGCCAAAAGTTAGCCCAACTGTGAAGCAAGAAAGAAGAGCTCAGTTCCTCAATGCTGGAAGTTTCCATATTGTTTTTATGCATTTGTAGTTTTCTTTTCTGTTAAAGTGCTACTTGCTTTTGGACATTGTCGTTTATTAATGGTATTGTTAATGTGATGATTATGCATGTTTTGATCAAGTTCATTCGTATTCACTCACGTTTTCTCATTTATCGCAAAAAATACAAATAAAACACTTCACTTCCTTTATCGCACTGCTGTTTAGCAAAGATTTGAGGGAGGATGACAAAAACAAAATACCCATAATTGCTGATGGTATGCTTTTGGATAAAATTATGTTGATGATGTACAAGCATTGTTTCAAATCCCCAAACACTGGAGAGATAAGGAGTTAGTCCCTAGTCAACCACCTCGAGCCTAGAAGTAGGAGTTTCCTTCGGATCTCTAAACCCTTACACTTAACCTGGGGCATGGGTAGTGTTCAGTTAACTTGAGTACGCACTCGAATCACAAGACAAAATCTAAGAGATGAAGATTGTTCATCAATGACCATTGACTTGGCAGTCACAAGCTTCAAAAAATATAATAAAAGGTCTGCTAAGTCGAACACCTCAAAAGGAGACTTAGGCAAAAGTCAAGGCAATCCCGATGGACTCGAAAAGCAAAATCAGTCCATGCAAAAGTTAGGGATCAAAATGAAAAAACAAAATAGGTCCTCAAATCCTCAACAAAAACACAATAAGATTCAGTGATCATCATATCAAGAATCAAAAGGGTCACTGACATCCATCAAAAAAACAAAATAAGTGTGACTGCCATATCGAGCAAGTCTTGAATCATCAAGTTTACACCGTCAAGTTCTAAGTGTGTGTATAGAATTAACTGATGTAGGACAGGAGTTCATCACGAAGAATGGGTGGGTTAAAATTAAATTTTGAGCCTTATATCCTTTGTTTCTATAACCAAGAACCAAGTCGCGATACAACCCTCAAAAGACCTAATTGAGGCGGAGTTTATTCTGAAAGCATACTATAGCAAGGTTGCATAAACTGACTCCTACATATTTGCTAATATCATATATCGGTGTCATATACTTGCTATGTCTTTCGCACCAGTTAAATCAGCATTGCGTTTGGACTAATGGTCCACTCGTCACACACTTTCACATCATTCTAATAAATGATCTTTTCAAAACTTGCACGAATGTCGCATTAAAATTACCATTTTTGAATGAATAATTTTTAAACTGCAAATCAGTACTTGACATAATGGAGATTCCAACAAAGAGCAATCGAAGGAGAACTTGATCATCCACTGATATTGGCTTGAATAAAGGAATTCTCATAACCTTGTGAACCTGGGGCAAATCCTTCTGAGGTTCAAACAAGGGCATACCACTACAAGATTCAGATACTGGGGCAGAAGAGCTCAAGCCTTGTCTTGGTATAATCGTCCCTAAAATTCTTATCCCAGAAGAAATCCTTCAAGTACCC